TAAATATTACAGTATATATAAATACAGCAGTTAAGTCTTCTACGTTAAATTATTACATGACAGGTTTCGCAGTTGTAAATTATAAAAATCACTCATAACTTTCATAAGTAAATTGTTTTTATAATTATGTACGCGACTATGAGGTTAAATAACTGTTTTAAGTATAATAATATAACGAAAAAAATCACTTTCTGCGTAGCCTTTTCACTTCATAGGAATTATGCAATAATTAAACACTAAAATCAATTCTTTTTTTTATATAGAATAAGGGTGACAAACGAGCACACAGTCCACCTGATGGTAAGTAGTTACTGTGGCCCATAGACATCTACATCTATCTTCGTTTGCGAAATATGTAAAATGCATATGCGTTGTCAGCCGTGAGGACTAAGACAGAATGCCTCTTTTCCAGTAAAATGGGTCTCCGGTTCTCTACACTCACCATACGAAACACAGCAGCATTAAGCTGCTATTTTACGCTGGTATTCTGTGAGAGCGTGGTCCTTCCCCGGTCGAGCCGACCCATTCGTGCTACAACTATACTGTTAATATAGCTGCAGCATGGCTCTACCACGTAAAATATTTATAGGCTTCCCCAAGGCTTCCTCTTCGAGCATAGGCAGAAATGTAGGCCATTTATGGTTTTTATCAAAAAAATGCGTGAGTAACTGAAAAAACTTACACTTTTTCTCGCTTAGCCCACATCCGTCAAATTTCTACCATCCGTTTTGGAACTTCGTTCCAAAAAACAGTACATAATACCTATTTTCCATAGAAATAAGGTAGATATAGAATAGTGGTTCTAGATTTAAAATAACTCTTATTAGCATAATTTTTTATTTAGTTTCTTATTGAACGTTTTCGTTTTTAGAGAACTGTACTGTCACGCGCGCAAATCACCGTGTGAATTTTCCGCGCAGTGAGCGTGAAATGCAGAAATGTTCCTCCACACTTGCCATAATAAAGTTTGGTTCGTGCGCTTGACGAAATATTAGCTACTGCTATAGTCGTAACTCTGTGCGCTTTAGTTCACTACAATTACATGTATATAAAAAGTTGAATTTTTCAATAAACTGGGGTTGTGTTATAAAAATATTCAATTGATATGAGCTCCTGGTCGTTCGTTCAAAAAATGCTCATTTTCACGCACCGTATGTAAACAAATAAACACAGCCTTACGGCACCGAGTCTCGTGTGCTATAAAACATAGTGATTTTATACTTTTTTATAGTTCATGGACCGCGAACTCATTGACACAAGCACAAATAACGACTCGGAATGGAGAACAAGGTGTGAGTACGCGTTAAACATGTGAACAGGGGCAAAAACCATCTATAATCGGGACCGCGCTGGTTCACGGGTGTTCACGGGGCGGATGTGGAGCCCGCTTTAAAATACGCCAACAACAATAACCATATAAAAATATATTAATTATAAAACCACGAAACAAATGATCTGTGATATAGGAAAATATCGTGCATAAATTTCTCCTTGACGCTGCGAGACAATAATAGATGTTGCTGTGAAGTGGTGCAGTACGACGCCGGAGTGGCATCATATCATACTTGGGCCTTCAGATCTTGCGATTACAACCTACAGTGCGCCTTGTGTTAAACTACCGCTACTGCTGCAATGCTGCGTTGAGTTGCGATTCGCACTAATAGTACCTACCCATGTAGTACCCAGTACGGTGAAATAATTGCGGTACATTTTAATCTGGCTGACCGGGCTGATCATTGGAATGGCTGAATCGATTGTGATTATACTTCCGAATAGATAAAGCAATGACAGGAGAGATCTAGTCTAGACCATATTTTGCTTATTAGCTTTGAGATTTTTTTTTATGTGTAATCCAAAAGTTTATAAAGTAAAAATGGTCGTTGATGATTATCTTGAATCTAAATGATGACATAAATTACATTATTAGACATCATCCAGGAAACTTCGGGCGGGTCACTAGTTTTAATTAAAATAAAGCCACCTAACCCTAACTAACCTAACCTAACCTTGTGACGCGATAAAAATTAAATTTCAAACTGTAACTAATCAGTGTTGTGTTGATGGCCATCGTTTTTCACAGTTGGTTAGCCTTGTAAAAAGGTCCGCTATAATAATTTTGATAATTAGTATAGCGAAAAAGTAAACATCAAGGTGATAGGAAATGCATTTTGATCGAATTAATGTTTCACCAAATAGCTACACTTTGTAATATATATATATATATATATATATATATATATATATATATATATATATATATATATATATATATATATATACAAAATATAAATATATAAATAATATATAAAAATATCATCATTACAGCCCTTCACAAGTCCACTGCTGAACATAGGCCTCCCCCAAGATACTACAAAGCACGGTCCTGAGCCACCTGCATCCATCGACTTCCAGCATGTCTTACCAGGTCACTCCATCGGGGGTCGGTGTACGAGGCTGCCAATCGCGAAGCTTTTTTCCCCATCGGTTATCGGTTCTTCGAGCTATATGGCCGGCCCATTGCCACTTCAGCTTACTAAACCGTTGTCTTATAATTTGGTATATGTCGTATGTCGTAATATATAAATATATTATTGATCACTCTAAGATATAATTTAAAATTTCAAAGTATTTTGTAGCACCTCTGAAATAATATGAGCTAAATTGAAAGCAACAAAAACCATAAGATTTATTTATATCCATTAGAATAAAACTCCACCCTCATTTTGGCATTAGAGAAATATAAAATCAATAAAAGTCTTTTATAGTCTATGTACATACGAGTATATCTTCTATGTCTATGTATTCTGCAGTACATATATTTAAAAATAAAGTGATTTTTTTATATTTATACATATCCTTACTTTTAGCAAGTGTGTGTGAGTATCTATTTTGTAAGCTTTCAATTTTGCAGTGTTGTTTATATTTTAATCTTATTTAATACTTATTTATATAACATAATATACAATATTTTATTATATACAAAAAATTAAAAACTATAATAATAAAAAAAAACTAAAACTAGAAACTTAATTATCAACAGTCCTACCACCCGTGGTATTTTAATTAACAATATTTAGTAATAGCTATTTTTCAGATTTTTTGAGAATTTTAATTGGCATCATTTAAAAAGTTTGCCGTGTAGTTACGTCATTAGATAATCCACTTTCCCATATGATATAACGCATGTCGTGAGAGGCGGTAGAGGGAAACTGAAACAGGAGAAGGGAACTAGCATCTTCCTGATAACAACTTAAAAAAAATTGCCAACTCACCTGCCAACCATGGTACTATAATTCAAATAAGAATAGGAATGACCTGGCGCTATGGTGTGACGTCATAGCTGTCAATTCAAACCGGTTAGATAGGGTGAGCAAATCAGGAATAATATTTTTTTTTATAGGATAAGGGTGACAAACGAGCACACATTCCACCTGATGGTAAGTGGTTGCTGCGGCCCATAGACATCTACATCTATCCTCTATTACAAATCAAAATGTAGATGAGTTGTCACCCGTGAGGACTAAGATGGAATGCCTCATTTCCAGTAAAAAGGGCCTCCGGCCACCTGCACTCACCAAGCGAAACGCAGAGGTAAACCTCTACTTCACGCTGGTTTTCTGTGAGGTCATGGTACCACCCCGGTTCGAGCCGGCCCATCCGTGCGACAGAAAAAGCTACCACGTGGCTCTACCACTGTTATTTACAAAAGCACCATGAAAAAAAAGCATTAATCTGAATGTAGCATTTCAAATTCGCTCATCTCTGTATCACTGTCTGAGTAGTCATCATAGTCATCATTATTATCACTGTTGTGTTGTTTTACCTTGTAAAAATAAAACGTGGATTTATGTAGGTATTTAAAATATTCCACCGATTAGTACCAATTACTAAACTATTTTAAATTAATTTATAAAAAATAATTATGAGTGCAATAGATTTGGTAATACTAAGACTCAGTTAAATCATAATCATTATGGTGATTTAACTGAGTTAAATTAAGACTCAGTCAAATAAAACGGAAAAATAACGTTGATAATACATATATGGAAATTAATTTTCTTAGCAAGTCTTACTTTTCAACTGACAGTTGACAGATTACGGTCATTCGAGGTCATTGACGTTCCTATTCTTATTTTAATCATTTTGTAAGTATGATAATCTATGGAAGAGGCCTATGTTCAGCAGTGGACTTTTGATAGCCTGTCGAAAGAATCAATGGATTTAAAAAGTTAAGGCGGGTAGCAGTCTTCCCCCAAAATGCCGGATCTTAAAATTTGCCGCCCAGAGCTACGTCAACCCTGGTCCCCTCTTGGTCACTACTGATAAGGTAATTGGTAAGTATTAAATTCTTGATGATAAAAACCATAAGTAACTAAACCTGTGTCCAATTAATCTGATATGGACTTCAACTATTTAAAAAAAATTGATCGTGTAGTGGCGGCGTAAGAATATCGTAAGAGGTGACAGAGAGAAACTGAAACAGATGGGCAGCAGTATATTCCTAATAACAACTTAAAATAATAAATAACTACGGTTGCCATCCCACCTACTAAGCGTGGCAACTATGGCCAAATCCCCTCTATGAGAATGATGAATCTCTTGGAGGCCTGTGTTCAGCAGTGAACTTTTATAGGCCGTAATGTATAAATGGATGGAATTCAACTGCATTATTTTTATGATGACGAAGGATTAAGCTCTGCTTCAAAACTCTTGAATAAATGTTTATTGAACGAACGTACGCATCTATTTATTCATAATTCTGTTTCTCTGTAGCGTTAACAACTTTATAAACTGTAACCTTACAAAGTGAACTGACGTCGGGACAAGGTATTTAAGAAGGCTACGCTTTGAGAGTGGGGCCAAAACTGCATTACTAATGGCTACGGCCGACCGCGACCATCAATTAATCTCAAACCAACTAATATTGCAAATAAATACAAAATAAAATAAAAAATCAGTATTCATAACATTTTGTTACAAACCAATAAAAAAGTGCAAACATGCCTGCTGACTCAAATTTGATAATAGCAGGGGAAGCAGTTAAAGAAAGTTTGTTTCAAAGTTTACCAGAGAGATCGAAACACGAGGAGTTCATTCGGAGAGCAGTAGACTTGTTGGTGGAGAGAGTGGTGTTTGGAAGGTCCCAGAGATCAGCGAAGGTGGTGGAGTGGGCAGCGCCAGAGGAAATCAAAACTGTAATAGATTTGAAACCAAGGAAGGGGCCTATCTCTCACGATGAGTTATTGGCAGTAATGGCTGATGTAAGTACTTTTCTTTTTGTTTAATTAGAATCACACAAAATACTATAACTCTTTAAAATATACACACTAAAATAGTGGGTGCGTTACAACTTCTTTTAATTTTAAAAATGTTGAATGATAGTTATAGATAATATTTTTGGTATTTTTAGTAATCGTACTGCAGTTGGGTATTTTATTCGATATAATATTATTACAATAGTAATATTATATAAAATTATTTTATTTGTTACAACATTGGTTCGGTAAATATCTCCCTCTATCTTCGGGAAAAACGGTAAAAAATCAACCGGTAAACGTAAACCGGTATTAATTACGTTCTCTTTTCCAACTGGGGTTTTGGAAAAACGCATTAGGTTTTTTTATAATTTTGGGTTTACGTGAAATGTATTATGTACAACATATTACACAAACATTACAATATTTTAAAAGAAACCACATATAATTTTGTTTTGTTATTGTAGGTACAATTTTTTTATTCATTAGGGTGACAAATGAACACACTTTCCACCTGATGGTATATGTTGTAAACATCTACCTATCCTCGATTAAAAATCAAAATACAGATGATTTATCACTGATGTAGTTACTTTTTGATATGAATATTAAACAATAACGAATCTTAGTCTTAGAGTCTTATATTCTTTCCGACTTTTTTATATTTAGCCCCTTTTCGCTTTTCTTTTCGGACACATTTTGAGAATTCTCCGACGCTGCAGTCTATGCAGAAAATCGGCATTTCATTTGTCAAACAAATATTTCTCGTTTCTTTCCATATATTAATACATACATGTTCATCAATTAAAGGTGATTTTAAATTTGTTTCTGTTTTAGATAAGTAAGGTTTGTTTTAGATGAACTTCCGTCTAGGGCGACCTTTGAAGATTTTGCCACTCACTTCTGCAACATATGTCTCTCTTAATATATTTATTCTTTCTACGTGTCCGAGCCACCGAAGCATTCCGTTACTAATCCCGAATACAAAATCTTGCAAATACACTTTTCTCTAATCATACTATTTCTCACCGAATCATTTAGGAGTAACTAACATATTTATTACCTCATTTTTGCAGCATTAGATAATTTCACTTCGTGGTTGTTCAGTGACACCTAACTTTCACTGACATAAATAAAGCTAAGGTCTTACACAGCATTATGGCAATAACCATATGTCTCTTTTATTAAATTCTGAGTTCCCACAATAGAGTAAAGAGGCCCATTTACTCTGTATCCTCCATTCGCTCTTTGTTCTATATCCTTGTAATATTTTATCTTGGATACATAAACTCATCCACTTGCTTCACCAATTCCCCTTTCAAAGCAGTACACTTAATCATAGGCCTTTTTAAGTCTAAAAATATACAAAAGTTTTCTGGATTTTACACAAATATTTCTTTGCGATCATGCGCATAGAAAACGAACGAACAAATTAGACCCAATCCTTTTTCTATATTCAGTTTGCACTTCCTAAATTAACCCATTAGTTTCTTTCATAACGTACCCAATTTGGTCTTCCGCAATTTATCTATCGCTCCTCAGGTAGATGAAACGTGACAGGTGGCACGCTGGTTTTGCTTTCTAAAGATTCTTTGTACCCTGCCTCATTGAAAAGGCGCCGGAAATTCGAGACTGTTTCTTTTTGGGACAGAAGTTGTTACAGATTTTTACGCCGCTACCAACGGCTAGAGCCGCTGAATGTAATTCGGGGTTCAACGATTATTTCGATTTTCGATTCTCGATATTGTCAATCGATTTTCTTAATATATATATATATATATATATATATATATATATATATATATATATATATATATATTTATATATATATATATATTTATATATATATATAGAACTTGCCAACTCAATTTAATGTGCGTTTCGAAATTTTATGAATAATGCATGTAGATTATTTAGTTTTAGTTAATCTAGTTTTAGCAGTACGTTCACGAAGTAAAATTAGTTTAATTTTTTTTTATAAACGCTGTCCTCGACTCACAAACGCAATCAACAAAAAAGTTTGCGTTTTTGTTTAAAATATTCTTTAATTTAATCTATAATTAGATGACTAGTTTTTGAGATGTCTCGCTACTTTATGCCGTGATCAAAACCATAGACTTAGAATACGCCAGTATATTTTAAGTCTATGATCAGAACCAACTTTTTAATTTACAACGATTAGATTTTTGCAATTGTTATAGTTTTTTCAAATTGTCTTGCTCGTTTTGACTGCCTCTTGGTTTAGTGGCCGTTAGTGTGAATTTGGGGTTCGAATCTGGGGTTCGAAACTAAAATCAGTTATTGGATTTTCTGTCAAGAAATTCTCAATAGCAGTTTCGATTTTTATAGGAGAGGAGTCAAACGAGCATGCGGCTCATCTGATGGTAAGTGACTACCGCCGCCCATGAACAACTGCAACACCAAGGGAATTGCAGATGCGTTGCCGGCCTTTTAAAAAGGAGTAGGCTCTTTTCTTGAAAGTCCCTAAGTCGTATCGGTCCGGAAAAATCGCTGGTGGTAAACTATTCTACAAGGAAGTTGTGCGAGGAAGAAAACATCTTCTAAATCGCACAGTGGTGGATCGCCAATCATCCAGATGGTGTGGATGGTATCGGGAGTTCTGCCGCGATGTGCGTTCGTGATATTTGGCGGCTGGGATTAATCCGAACAATTCCTCAGAGCACTCCCCAGGCGTTTTACTCAAGCGACGCCCCGGAAAGCACGGAAAGCACGTACAGCCCTGTTTTGTCCCTAGTCTCAATCATGGTTGTGTTGGATTGAGGATAGATAATAAAGAGGGCACATGTGCTTGTGCACACACTCGCGCACTAACATCCTGTCCTATACAAGTGGCTACTTAAGCTGAGAGTTGAAACTGACCACCGTAACCCAAAATTCATTATGTAGGACATTATTTTCATTGACGTTCGATTTGAAATATGTTATTTGTAGGGCAATGTAAATTTACAGTTAGTAACAACTATTTTTCCAATTAAAAAAAAAACCCTCACACTATGAATTTTCCTTAAATATCGAAGGCAAATTTAACAATCTAGACCAGGAAAAATTATTTGCAGGACATACGAGTAGGTTCTTGTTCCGTGTGGGATTCGAACTCGCAGCCTACAGTGTCGCAGTAGAACGCACTGCGCTGCTAAGCTGTCAAATAGTTTAAATAACAATGTGATGATAATGCTGATGTTCTCGTGGCTGATATCGAGTTTTAATTATAACAATAATTAAAACTCGAATAAGGTGATCGCCACCATGCTGGTTCTATGAAAAATTATTTAAAAATTGTATAAACGAAATTATGTTTGAAAAAAAAAGTCCCGCTGGGTTTCTTGCTGGTTCTTCCCAGGACAGAGGTATTTTCCGAACCAGTGGTAGATAAAAAATGACTTTCAATTAGAATTATTTAATAATCGATATTGAATAAAAAATTATTCTATTCTATTCTATTCTAACAGTACAGCGTAAAAAATAATTAATGCCCTATCACAGAAAGACATCCTTTCATCACCAACTCGTATCAGATGTGACGTTTATACAGAAAAGATTGGATACAAGGACTGCAAACGAGGCAACCATTAAACATATTCTCGAATATCGGTAATTAGAGTGTTACCTTGACTTCGTCTATGATTCAGAAACAGAAACAGCAAGAGAAACTTTTTTATTCAATATAGATTATAAATAACATTTATCGAAAGTCACTCTATTGTTTAATTACCACTGGTTAAAAAAACCTCTGTCCTGGAAAGAACCAGCGAGAAACCCTGCGAGACTTTTTTTTTAAATAACAGCTTACAATCAATTCGAACTCAGGAGTCATCAAGAAGGAGCGTTTATAACTATTACCACATTGTCACGCACGCTAAGAAGTGAAGATGGTGAACTCAATGGCAATGACTTACGGTGCGTACACATTAAGTAACATAACATGTTATAAAACACGTTTCATATATAACGTGACACAAATGTTATGTAACTCGAACGGCAGAACGCCAAACTACAATGTCATATAACATTGTTATATTGCATTGTTTTTTAACGTGTACGGTATTGTTATATGTTGCAATGTTGAAAAACAATGTTACATATTGTGGACGTGTTATAAAACAAAAGTTACACAACATGTTACTTAATCTGTACGCACCCTCATAAGTGCAATCATAATAGAAGGCTTATCGAATTTGTAATAGAAAAACTCAATGATTACGTTTGCAAAGGCTGCGCCTGAAGTGGATGAGGTCGATTGGGTTACTGAAAATTTATGCGTTAGATGTAAGATGAAATACCGAATACAAATAGACTGAACATATTATTACATGAAAGAAGAGCAAACAATACTGAATTTTTTTAGTATGATGTAACAGAGAACTGTATTTATAGTTGATTTAGAACGTGAAGCGAATATTATCTCCATAATAGGATCAAACACGCATGTAATTAGCGGAAACACTTACTAGCTACAGCAAAAACTTAATAATCATTTGATGATTTACAAAATGTTTATAAAAATGTACTACATCAATATGTCTTGTATTTGATACAAAGAACTAGTGGTTGAAATATGAAAAATATTTTATTATTTACGTTGTAGAACCATGTTGCAGCTATTGTACGGATGTACCAAGAATGGATCGGCTCGACCGGAGAAGGTGTGGTGCATGGTCTCACAGAATACAAGCGTAAAATAGCAGCTTAATGGCGCGTCTCCACCAAAGTTTTCAACATTTGTCAACACGTGTTGCCGACAAATGTTTCTGTTAGGCGCGTCTCCACCAAAAATGTTGACAACATTTATGTTTCCGACATGTTGACAAATCAACAAAAGCTGACGACATTTGCTTCAAAATGTTGCGAATCAAAGGAATACGCTTGTTGCCGACATTTGTTTCCTCGGTGGAGACGCTTCTTGCAACATTTTGAAACAAATGTCGTCAACTTTTGTTGATTTGTCAACATGTCGGAAACATAAATGTTGTCAACATTTTTGGTGGAGACGCGCCTTAATGCTGTTGAGTTTCGTATGGTGATAAGAGAACCGGAAAACCTTATTACTTGAAAAGAGGCATTCCAGTTTAGTTCAGGGAAGACAACGCATCTGCATTTTGGTTTTTATTCGAGAATAGATGTATATCTTATTTGGCCACAGCATCCGCTTGCCATCACATAAATTGTGTGACAAACTATTGACTCCCTAATGCCATAAAAATAAAAGCCGACCGACCTTCAAAAAGTGCCAAATCAAAATTTAATACACCACTACTTGTATAACGAGCCTTGGTAACTCAGGGCCTAAGTGCTCTCCGTAAATTTCACAGTAGTACGCGAGCAACAGGGGTTCAGTTCCCGTCAGCACCAATAAAATTATTAATTGTAATTTGAAGTGCTGATGTTTTATATGCTCGGCGGTGAAAAAAAATATCGTGATGGAACCTGTATATCTAAGTAATAAACAGTCCTCGAAGTATTTTGTTGGGCCCATCGACACACATTAGAGCAGCTCGCCGAAATAATTGATCAATAACCATCTCAGAAATGAGGGAAAGTCTGTGTGCAATCGAAGTTTGCTAATGGGCTGTAATTTTTTTACTTTACTTGTACTAAATAATAAGACGATTTCGATAGCATTTAACTAAGAGAGATACCTTTTAAAATATAATAAAACTACGGGACGAGGTTGGTATAATGTATTTCCTTATCCGACTTTAGAATCTTAATTATTACTTACATGTAATGTAATAAAATAATTTGCCCTGTGGTGGTGGTTTTAGAAAAAGCATCATATAATTTTGCCACGGACGGCCACGCAGCCGTCTTCAGCACATTGAATACGTGCAACGAGAGACTGAAAAAAGCCATTCACATACTCCAGATAATGATTTCTTAAATTTACGCGAATACTTCACATGGAATAAAAAAAATTACGAATTTATGACATTTAATATTAACTTTTTAATTCCATAAGTTCCGCGCACTTTACAGCATCCATGGTTACTCTTCCTGATATCATAGTTTTTTATATTGAAGTTTACTTTCAACTTAGGTATTAATTTTATAAGTTTATTAAGTTCTATAAGTATTAAGATGAAGGTTACTTTCAACTTTTAAAATATTAATTTTAAATCATAAAGAATCAATTTTTTACGTGGTAGAGCCATGCTGCAGCTATATTATGGTTGTAGCACGAATGGGTCGGCTCGACCGAGGAAGGACCACGCTCTCACAGAAAATCAGCGTAAAATAGCAGCCTAACGCTGCTGTGTTTCGTATGGTGAGTGAAGAGAATCGGAGACCCTTTTTACTGGCAAAGATGCATTCCATCTTAGTCCTCACGGGTGACAACGCATCTGCATCTTGAGTCTTTATTGAGATAGAAATAAATGTCTATGGGTCACAGTAACCACTTACCATCAGGTGGACTGTGTGCTCGTTTGTCACCCGATCCTATAAAAAAAAAACATGAAAGAAATCAAAATTTAAAAGTTGAAGGTAGCCCTCGTTAACGACGTTAGTTTCATGCCATCGATTTCAGATACTAAATATCTAGTAGACCGGCGAAGGAAAGCAGCTTAAAAGGTTTGATACATCTGGTACCGTGATCACCAATTTGATTCCAGAGCCTGGTGATTAAGGCATGTCCATTCTTTAATGGAACTGATCGAGTCCAAATTACTGACTGATAAACAAGAAGTATAAAAATAATAACGTACGAATGTTTTTTAGGTGGCCCGCTACTCAGTCAACACTGGACATCCTTATTTCGTCAACCAGTTGTTTTCAACGGTTGATCCATATGGGCTAATTGGTCAATGGTTGACAGACGCGCTAAACCCGAGTGTGTACACGTACGAAGTTGCACCGGTCTTTACACTGATGGAAGAGGAAGTGCTGCGTGAAATGAGAAACATTGTCGGCTGGCCAGAGGGTGATGGCGATGGCATCTTTTGTCCAGGTGGATCCATTGCAAACGGTTACGCTATTAGCTGCGCAAGACATCATTTCTATCCAGAAGTAAAGGTTAGTGCTGCCTCACTTAGAAAAGTATAACATCACAATAGCAAATATGTTTGATTTTGTTTTACAATTTCTTGTGTTTACAATACTTGGTCTTCAATTTGTGAACATGGGTCCGTTAGTGATCGTGTAACTTTCGAACTACTTGGTCTATAGAGGTCATAAAATATAAGACGCGGGTTCGAATCCTGCAAGAACCAAGTATTTGTATATTTCTTGTTTTTCTGGATGTTTGTGCTTATGCAATTTATGTATCAAAATTGCATAAGGACAAATATTCAGAAAAACAAGAAACATAAGTACAGGACGACATCCTAGAGTGTGGTTTGGAGGAGGGAGAGGGGGGGAATTTATCGTATTGTATAACCGAATTTGGAATGCTCATAGTGACACCGAAAACGAAACCGCGGCAAAAACGGGAAGGGCACAACTACGAGTACGTCAGCCAGACTACCAAAGTAATATTGTAAAATATAGCTAACTAGTAATGTATTCTTTTAATACATACAAGCATATCAAAATGCATACTTACAATGGTAATAGTTGTTTTGATGGAAAACGAACATGATGCACTAGTTTTTTAACTCTCTACTTTAGAATCACACTAATCGTTCTACTGACTTTGCGTTACCAACTAATTTTGGTCTAAATATGATATTGTTAACATCTCCTTTTTCGCTTGTCATTTAACATTAAAGATGAACCTTGTATATTCCTTAGATATTCTTCCAATAATTTTACCATTCAACTTCACGCTCTTTTTTCAACTAGTTTATTTCCCTGTCATAATATAGTTTTCAACACAATCAAGACAAAACGATTTTGGGGCCCGGTGCCCTATTTTTAACCGATTTCAAAAAGGAGGAGGTTCTCAATTCTATTGTATGTTTTTTTTGTATGTATGTCACGCGATATCTCCGCAAATTGTAAACTAATTATAATCATAAAATAATCAACAATATTTTTTTATTAAATAGGTTTAAAAGATGGATTTAATTTTAATTTTCAAGGATGGTTCTATAAAAATTCCACCCTAAGGGTAGAAAATAAATAACTACTTTTTTTAGTTTAGAAGTCGGTTATTACTTTTTGTTAAAAGTTTTAATTATTCATGTTGTGCTGTAACAATAATCGCTATTAATTAGCTTTTCTAATTTCAATATCGCTACTGATAGAAGTTATCAATGCTCTCTCTTTTTATTGTTAAATTTGACCAAGTTAAACCAGTCTAAATACCTCCAACTGCTTGGCACAAATCTTCTCTTATTCTTCCTTTATCAGCGCAATGCAGAGGTCTCCCTTACCATACTTCCCTTAGAGCAAAGCACCACACCTACCCCCAATATGCGTTGGCACGTCGCAAATTCCATTTTAAATTGAGGCCTGAGTTCGATGAAGCTGTAAAAGCCAAGTGTCTAGCAGCACTGACATTAATAATATAAAAATTAAAAATTTTGTACAGCCGACTTTAATATAAGTTATTAAGTATAACGCAAAAACTATTGGTCTGACCTTAATTAAATTCACATGGGACCACACGAAAAGTACCAGCTTTCAAATAAAAAAAGAATTATCCAAATTGGTTCACTCAGTAAAAAGTTATGAGGTAACACCATGAAGCAAATACAAAGAGGAGACGTTGTAATTAAATTTCACTATGTAACAACGCGTGACAATTTGCGGGGTGAGGGGATGCAAAGCCCCGCCCACTACACTATCTACATCTACTGATAAATAGTAAAACTACTCGAATCTTTCCATATCGATGTTGCAATGTAGCTTAGCTACCTTGACGGTAGATGGTGGCATGTCCACAAAATATAAACTATAAAAATAATATTTTGGCGATTAAAATTTCTTTATGTCTGAATGCAAAACAAATTTCTCTACGGACCTTTATATTTTTAGTTCACATGACACAAATTGTCGCCATCTAGTGTCGAATATATTTAATTATATTTGAAAGCCGACGCAAAGAGATTTTCTAGAACTATTTTAATAAATTAGGCGTAAAATTATTTACAAATGAAATGTGATGCATTCCATAACATCAGAGCGTCTATCTGAGTAGTTTTTACACAATAAAACGCAACACTTCATCCTTTTCTTCTTAATACTACGAAAATACAACATTTTGCGATTTTGTCAACACATAAGCGCACAGGACGAATGCTGACAGTATACTAACTAAAGCCATGCCCACTATGATGACGTCATCACCTACTTAGAATCACAGTGCACAGTTGCTTATGCCGTCTCCCCTTTGTATTAGCTTCATGGGTAACACACATAAAAAAACATACAGTCGAATTAAGTACCGTCTCCTTTTTGGAAGTCGGCAGAAAAATAGAAATATACCACCGCATTAAAGGAGAAACCCGGTTTTCTCCCGTACTATGAAATTTTAAAGCAAACTTTTACATCTGAATTAGTTTTTAATCTATTTTCACTCGCGTACCATATTTTGGTCTGAAAATACCAAGTTTTTTGTTTTCTAAAACGTCATGTTCTTGACTCTCTACTTTGGTGGTCACGGATGAATTTATAACAAATTGTATAAGGTTTCAAGGTATTTCATTATTGAAAATTATAGTTAAACTTTTAATAAAAAGTAAATGGCTGAGCTCGAAAACTAAAAATAAGCAAATAATTTCCTCTTAATAGTTGCTAAAACATAGTGTATAGAAAAATGAAAGTCTAGACTTCAGAAGCTATTATGTGAAAATTATTTTACTTTTACGTTATAATATTTTTTTTTTATAGAATAGGGGTGACAAACGAGCACACAGTCCACCTGATCGTAAGTGGTTGCTGTGGCCCATAGACATCTACATCTATCTTTGTTTGAGAATTAAAATGCAGATGCGTTGTCAGCCGTGAGGACTAACATAGAATGCCTCTTTTCCAGTAAAAGGGTTTCCGGTTCTCTACACAGTCCATACGAAACACAGCAGCATTAAGCTTGTATTTTACGCTGGTATTCTGTGAGAGCGTGGTCCTTCCCCGGTCGAGGCGACCCATTCGTGCTACAATTCTATACTATGCTGCAGCATGGCTCTACCACGTGTAACATAGATTACAATAACTATAACTTTATTTATTTTACCTTTAAAGGAATATCACAAATTCAAGGAGAAGAAGGTCGTTTGAATAAGTACATTTAAAACTTCCTTATCCGACATTATTCCGATGATATCCCGGACGTCAGTCTGAGCGAGATTAGAATGGCTCTCCAGCACCTTAAAAACGGCAAAGCCCCAGGCGAGGATGGAATTACAGCAGAGCTTCTGAAAGCGGGTGGAAAACCGGTACTTGAAGTCCTTCAGAGGCTCTTTAATTCCGTCCTCCATGGTGGCATTACACCGCAGGCGTGGAGCAGAAGTGCGGTGGTCTTGTTCTTCAAGAAAGGCGACAACGCTCTCTTGAAGAACTACAGACCAATTTCCCTTCTCAGCCGCGTCTACGTGCTGTTTTCGAGAGTCATTACGAATCGTCTCGCGAGCAGACTTGACGACTTCCAGCCTTCCGAACAAGCCGGTTTCCGAAAAGGCTTTAGCACCATAGACCACATGCATACTCTTCGGCAAATTGTACAGAAGTCCGAGGAGTACAATTTGCCACTATGTCTGGCGTATGTAGACTATGAGAAAGCGTTTGATTCCGTAGAAATTTGGGCGGTGCTGCAGTCCCTTCAGCGATGCCAAATTGACTGTCGGTATATCGAAGTGTTGAAGTGCTTGTACAGTAGGGCTACGATGGCTATCCGAGTACAGAACCAGAGTACGAAACCTATCCAATTGCAGAGAGGTGTAAGACAGGGTGACGTCATATCCCCGAAACTCTTTACCGCTGCATTGGAAGATGTTTTCAAGCTTCTGGACTGGAAAGAATACGGTATCAACATCAATGGCGAGTACATCACTCACCTTCGATTTGCCGACGATATAGTCCTTATGGCAGAATCACTGGAGGACCTAAGCACTATGCTCAATGACCTCAATCGTGTTTCCCAGCGGATAGGTCTTAAGATGAACATGGACAAAACAAAGATCATGTTTAATGTCCATGTCACACCTATACCGGTAGTTGTTGGGAACACTAAGCTCAAGTTGTTGACGAGTATGTTTACCTGGGACAAATAGTCCGACTAGGTAAGTCCAACTTCGACCGAGAGGTCAATCGACGGATTTAACTCGGTTGGGCAGCGTTAGGGAAATTACGGCACATGTTCTCGTCAGGTATACCTCAAAACTTGAAAACGAGACTGTACACCCAGTGCGTGTTGCCAGTGATGATATACGGAACTGAGACGTGGTCCTTCACTGCTGGCCGTATGAGGAAGCTCAAGGTCGCTCAGCGAGCTATGGAGAGGGCTATGCTCGGAGTTTCTCTGCGTGATAAACTCAGAAATGAGGATATCCGCAGTAGAACCAGAGTGACCGACATAGCCCAATGGATTAGTAAGCTGAAGTGGCAATGGGCCGGCCATATAGCTCGAAGAAGCGACAACCGATGGGGAAGAAAGGTTCTCGAGTGGCAGGCTCGTACCGGCAGGCGAAGTGTAGGGTGTCCCCCCACTAGATGGAGTGACGACCTGGTAAGATATGCAGGAAGTCGATGGATGCAGGTGGCTCAGGACCGTGCTTTGTGGCATTCTTTGGGGGAGGCCTATGTTCAGCAGTGGACTTGTGAAGGGCTGTAATGATGATGATGATGACGTTATAATATATTTTTTTATAGAATAGGGGTGACAAACGAGCACACAGTCCACCTGATGGTAAGTAGTTGCTGTGGCCCATAGACATCTACATATATCTTCGTTTGAGAATTAAAATGCAGATGCGTTGTCAGCCGTGAGGACTAAGATAGAATGCCTCTTTTCCAGTAAAAGGGTCTCCGGTTCTCTACACAGTCCATACGAAACACAGCAGCATTAAGCTTGTATTTTACGCTGGTATTCTGTGAGAGCGTGGTCCTTCCCCGGTCGAGGCGACCCATTCGTG